TTGGAGCATTGTTTTGCTTATTTGGAGGTCAGATGGTATCAATTCAATATCTAATATTCATCTGTTGAATGCAATATGGCCAACCCATTGTTATTTAGTTGGAATCTCTGTTTTGAAGTAAAAAGTGCAAGTCCCTGATTACCAATTAATTCTTTTTTTTTAGTTTCAGTTGTTTGTTTTGTATTTTGTTTCTTTGTATATTATTAGTATTCAAGTTGGACATTTAAATAAGTGCCTTGAATAAATAATAATGTTTCATAAGGTAATCTAGCTTATTATGTCAAATACTACCTGTTGGCATTTTTATGTTATATTTTTATGTTATATTAAACATACTTTTTTGTGTATCTTTCAACTTCTGTACTACTTTTGCATTCATGTCTAATTGTCACAACCATTCATCAGTACTGGTAGTAAATTATTTCTTCTTTAAAAAGTTTGGCATGTTTTATTGAATACAGTATGAATTTATCCAAATATTCTCCAACCTACTTAAATTTGATTTGGATTTTCTTCTAGGTAATCTTTTGCCTGAGGTAGATGTAGCTGTTGACTTTCTTCAGTTCCTGATTTTCAGATTATTGGGGGGGCGGGGAAATGGAATCAATTACTAAATATGCCTTCTTAAACTTCTTTTTCAAGGCTAGTAACATCATTAAATTCAGTCATCTTTAAAGGTCTTCTCTATTGTAGGAGAAAGAGACAATATTGTCACCAATAAAGCATAGGTGATTGAAGTAGTCAGCACTGATATTTATTTCTACCTTGGACCACTTCACCTTTTTGAATGTCTACAATACAATACACAATCTGTAGTACAAGTACAACAACAAAAATGTATGTCTTTGTTTCTTTCAGGATTAAATATTTTTAGGAGTCCAAGCTGATATGTTGTACAATTAATGTTATTTATAAAGATTTCTAATTAAAAAAAATTGAAATGGGTTTAAAACATCACAAACTAAACCCAGGAGCAATAATAGCAAACAGGTTTGTAATAAATAGTGCTGCCAGGGAAAAAGATGATGATGAAGGACCGCTCCTCATGGGTTGAATAGCCCTATGCCCTTGTCTTGCTTCTCTGTTTCTCCCCTCAAGGCAGCGTCTCTTGAGATCTCTGTAGAACCACTTGTGAAACAACGTTTCACTGTGTAAACAGTCTCAGCTGCTCTGCTATCATCTTGCAATGTTACAGTTTTTGCCCGGGACTGAGCATTATCCCCCACCCCTTCCTAGTCGCCTCTCCAGCTGTTTCTGTTCTATCAGTAATCGGCTATTCAAATATATCATTGTGAAGTCCCTCTCTTCCATAGACTCTAGGCTAGCCATTAGAATGTCCCATGAAGTGTCTAACAAATTGAGCACCACATACATACACCTTGCATGCCTCAGTAAATGTCATTCCTCTTTCCTCTAATTCTAAGAATTCTTTCTCATGGACTGCAAATGTGCAGACATACTCTCTCGCAGTTTCAGTTGTGCCGTATACAATCTCTTTGTCAGCAACACTTTGCTACTCGCAGTCTAACATACACACTATGTAATACCTCCCAGCACTCTTTGGCAGACTGGAGATCCCTCACATATATCAGCTGACTGCCCTCCAAATGCAGGATGATGCCTTTTCATTCCTTCTCTGGGACCCATCATCCAAGAGCAATGCTACCAGGAGGACTAAGAGCCCCCATGAAGCCAGCAGCAGAATGGGCAGCCGCGGCCAGCATAGTGCATCCCAGCAGCAGCTGGATCAGTAGACAGGGTGGATGGAGACTGGCGTGTGTCGAGAACTTGACCCGTTTCAGCCATAGCCATACAGTAGGATAGAGAGGGCAGGGCCAGTGGTAGCTGCGCTCCCATTCCCATTGGCCCCCATGCTCACCACCTCTTGCACGTCAAAAAAATAAGTCCTCCCCCAAAATAAGCCTGAATGCTTATTTTCAAGCCCAAAAGAAAATAAGACTGGGAATAAACAGTAGGAATAAACAGTATTTGACACTGAAAGAACAGTCTTCTCCAAGACCTAAATATTCCTTCTGTACATTTAAAATAATCCAGAAACCTTGATCAAGAAGGAAAGTTTTAGTGATATAAAACTGAATGTATTAAAGTAAAATTTTCAGTTTTAGTTCTTAGTCTCCCATAGAATTTGCTTGAAAAATGTAGAAAATCAGGACCCACCTACCCTCCTAAAGAATGAAATATTTTGAGGAATATTAAAAAGGCAGGATAAAGTATTTCCCCTAAAGGAGAAATGAAACAAAAATATTTTTTTAAGGGAGGCAGAAACCAGCCCCAGTTTCCCTGCCCCAAGCAGCAACTGAGGAGGCCAGCTTTTAGAAATGAAGGTTTGATAATCCATTCAGAAAGACTGGGCCAAACAGAAACTCCAGATAAGCAGTTGACAAGATTAACTCAAACACCTAGGACAATGGTGGTGAACCTTTTCAGCACCAAGTGCTGAAACGAAAGCATGCGTGCATGTGCACATGCCCTGGAAATCATGAGAGCAGCTCCCTGGCACACTGCATGGGAGCGCCAGAAACTGGGAACTCAGCTTCCTGCCACATGCATGCATGGTGTCCATCTGGTCTTCCAGTTTCTAACATGCATATGTGTGCAAAGACCAGCTGGCCATCACGCACATGCATGCAGGAGCGCTGTTCTTCCGGTTTCCAGCACTTTCACATGTGGAAAGACCAGCTGGCCAGCATGCATGCACATGCCGGAACCCAAAAGAGCAACGGGTGATGGCTGGCATACCCGGAGAGATGGCTCTGCATGCCACTTCCAGCACGCGTGCCATAGGCTCACCATCACAGACCAAGGATTTGCATTTTCCCTTCTGCCTATAGTCAGCCATGACTCCATAGGAGTGTGACAACAACCATTAGAATGTTAAAGGATAGGAAGCTCAAATAGAAAGCCCAAAGAAAGTATAAAAGCCCACCCACTCTTAACTCCATTTTGTCAGCTGTTGGTGGTTCTGCTTCATCAATAAACCAACTTTCTTTCCAATCAGCCTCCATTTTATTCCCAGCTTGAAACTGGAACTGTATATTTCTTCCAACAAAAACATTTTATTAGTTTGTTGAGAATACACTGAATGCTTCATTCATGTTGATCTCTTGCTTACTTATGTCAGAAAGTAGGCAGAGTTTTTAAAATAATGTACTGGAATTTGTTTGTTTTTTTAATGAGGAGACAGGAGATAACCAGTCTGTCAGCCTTCAAGAATCCTTCTGCTTGTCTTCCAGCTGCCCTAGAAAGTGGGGGGAGATTAATTGGGCTTTGTGGGGGGCTTTGTGCTGGAGGCTTGAGATAGGGAAATTGTAAAAACTTGGGAAAACTTTCTTATTTGCTTATTATGCAGCTGTAGCTTATCTAAGCAGGCCAAGGTCAACTGTCCTGGTGAGCTTGATGTCTGAAACACCACCTGAAGATGCTCCACATGACATTATACACATTTCAGATTGGATAGCCAGTTTGAACTATTGTGGGTGGGAATGTTGCCATAACTTTGTATAGGTGATTTTCATGCCTAATGCACCAGATCTTAAATTCTTTTGATGCTACCACTTTCATTTCCACTAAAAGTCCTTTCTTTTCTTGGATTTTGAATGGAGCCTCACTTGACACAGCCAATCTCTCTGGCCAGTGATTAGCCAACATTTTCTTCTCTAGCTTTTTGGAAGAAATATCTGTTTCAGTTCCAAGCTGGGAGAAAGGTACTGGTGACAAAATGGAGGTTGGAGGCTGATTGGAAAGAGGGTCCATTTATTGATGAACAGGATCACATTTGTGGTTATGATGCAGCTGACCACATGGAGTTGAGAGTGGGGTTTTAAAAATAAATTCTCTTGGGCTTTGTACTTGAGCTTCCTGTTCCTGTGTAAGAACATGTATTCTATTGGCTGTTATCAGATTCTCATTGAGCCATGAAGGGATTATGCAGGGGTCACAGCTGGCTCTATAGGCAAAGTACAAATCCTAGGTGTTCGTCTGAGCTAAGTTTGGTTGACGTTTCTGAGGGTGATGCAATGAAGGGGCATTGGGTAATTCCTATTATGGCTGAGGGATAATCTTACCTTTGTTCAGAGGTTGCTGTGCAAGAAATTTCAAAATATCCTGTCTTGAGTGGATTTCAAGCCTGCAGTATTTGCTTTGCCTATGAATAGAGCTACCTAGACAATTGGTTTCTTTCAATCTCTTAAATTCTGACATCTGCTGAGGGCTATTAAGAAAGGTGAGGCTGCTTTCTGTCTCCAAGAGCACGTTTCTACATTTCACCTTAAGGGAAATATATCTTGCCTTTTTAATATTTCCCAAAATATTTCATTCTTCTAGGAGGGGGAGGACTTCTCTCAAGCTCAAAAGCATCCTTTAGTACCTGTGGAGATTCTCAGTCATCCAGATCATAGTTGTCTCAAAGGGGCTTTTTACTTCAAAAAGCAAAACGTTTTTTCCTTAAAGAAAAAACAGCCCAGTTGCCTTCTGAAGAAAAAAGCACCTTTCAGACATCTTTTAATATGGTACTTTAGGCAAGTGGATGAAAACAAGTCAAAGTGCAAAGAAATATAAATCAATCTAGCAGATAATTTTTAAAAACTGCTTATTAAAGAAAAGGTAAAATCAGAGTAAAGAACAGTATAATTATAAGATGTATTAGGCCAAGCTAGATTTCGTTCCTGAGATAAATAAATAACTGTTTACTCAAGATCGCAGACTGATCAGAAAATCTTGTGCACTGATCTTGGTTGGTTCAGTAAACCAAAAAAATGAGGCAGTAAGTGGAATATTCCAAGAAAGAAAAGCAATGAATTTTTAAAAGGAGAGCAATCAGCTGCTTTCCGCTAGGTCCCTTAGTTCGCTGAGGCTCCTCTTACAGTGGGGTATCCAGCTCAATCCAACGAGGAGGTAATGTGCCCCACCCGCTGCCAACACGCGAGCCTTTCTAGCCACTCAGGTCTAAGAACGAGGCGATGCCACGTAGCGACGCCAGGGATGAAGGCTGGGGGTAGGGAGAAAGCAGCCTATCGGTGGGTCGATCTCCCGCCCTTCAGGTTTGAATTGTCTTTTCGCTGAAGGTAGCTTCGATTTCCAAGTGGACTCAGACCAAATACCTTAAAGTCACGCTCCAAAGTAAACGTTTTTGCAGGAAGAAGATAGTGGCTGGTAGTCAGACCTTGGTTTTCTTATCCAAGGGAACTTGGCTGCGCCCCTCTTCCCGCGGCCTGACTCCTCCCATTGCTAAGCAGCGAAGGGGCTGGGAATTTCCTCTCCACCCGCCCCCCCCCTCCACGTTTGCAGTTTGGGGAAGCCGGGATTGCAGCCTAAATTGCTTTTGAATGTTCTCGTTGCGCTCACTTCTCGCAATAGATATGCCGAGAATGCCGCCGATCCGGAGGCGGCGACACCGCTGCTGCTCGCCCCTGCTCCTCGCCTTGCTAGTTAGTTGCGTAGCGTGCCAGGCTCCGCCAGTGCCGGCTGGGGAGACCCACTGGGATGGAAAAGACGTGTTGATCGAGCGCAAGTACGTGCCGGACAAATGCCCGCGGACCGTTATTTCCGGCGACTTCGTACGTTATCATTACCATGGCACTTTGTCCGACGGCAAGAAATTCGATTCCAGGTAGCCTCGGCTCTTTCCTTCGCCGGCGTGGTGCTGCGGGCGGGGAGGAGGCCAACGCAAATGGGGGCAGATGCGGGACACAACTTGGGTGTCTTGACTCCAAAGGAAACCCCAATTAATGGGCCCGTTTGCCGGAAGATGAACTCAAGCTATCAGTTTCGGGGAAATGCCCATACCTTCGATGCACACTCTCAGTTTCTGGTCTTTGAGATCCCATACAGAAGCTGGCATTGGAAAGCTTTATCAGATGTGGGAAAGTCATTGGTCAGAGTAGGTAAAGCCTTATGGTAGTCACTAATCAGCATAGAGAAAATCGATATGCAAATATCCAAAGCTGATTTGAAAACATCGAGATAATTAGGATATATACAACGAAATTTGAGTAAATTTTTATTAAAAGCAAAGATGGTTCCTCAGACAACAGAATAGTTACCAGGACCTGGAGAAGGGGCAACATTGTAGGTTCACTCCTTGGGAGCAATCAGAGAAAGCCAGGAGCCACCCTTGGAGGGAATGCATACACACCACATCTTAATGATATCAGCTTATAAAGCCTTTCAATTTATATTAAAAAAATTAAAGACAAATCTGAGGAGAAATGTGTACAAAGTATCACGTCACACCTATTCTTAAATTGTAAATTGGCTGAAAGGAAATAAAATTTTAAGTTATGTCAATGAAATGTAATATTTGAATTTGGAAAGCTAGTAGAAGTGGAGAAGCCATTTTCAATATTATCATTCAGGAAAAGTGCTGCACATTGTAGTGGCAAGTGCTTAAAGCTGGCAGTGGCTGCATCTGCTTGTCTCAAACTGCATTTTTTCAAATGGCAACTGGACTTCCTTGATTTTTCTTAAAGATGTTTCATTGGCATCCAAGAAGTTTCTTCAATTCAGACTAACTGGTGGGAAATGGAAGGATTTATGCTCTTTGCAGTCAGCCAATTGTTAACACTGAGGGTAGTTGAACCACCTGGCAGGTAACCTGCGCTCTCCAAATAAATCATTCCATTTCTCAACAGGTACTTGAACTGAAGAACTTCTTGAATGAGAAGTGAAATGTCTTTAAGAAAAATCAAAGCAAAAAGCATTTTTGTTTATTAATCCAGATGACTGACAATTTCTATAGACATGCTACAGCTATTTCCTCCAGGGAAAATGATGGAATTTTGGGAAACCACTTGCTTCAGTTGAATTTTGGATGTGAGCATGTGATCTAAACTTCTTTTTGGAATGAATCTAATTTCATTGATTGTGTTCCATTGGTATTCTGAAGGGGAGTGATTTATCTTTATAATTTATATGAGCCACAATGTTTGTTGGATGTTGTAAACATCAGATTATGTGATTGTTATTATGAGGCTGTTCATTGGAATCTATGAGATATGTAAGAAATGTTTAATAGGGTCTTCACTATTTTACAGTCAAAAAGAACAAAAGCCACAGAGGAAACAAAGAATCTGCATGGGATTTAGAGGAAACCCAGTGACACTCTTGGATGTAAAAATAATGCTGGAAATAATACTATGTTTTGTAATGTATCACTTTATAAAGCCTTTCAGTTTATATTAAAAAAAAATTAAATGCAAATATGAGAAGAAATGTTTACAAAATATCATGTCACACCTATTCTTAAATTGTTAATTGGCTAAAAGGAAATAAAAATATAAGCTAGGTCAGTGAAATGTAATATTTGAATGTTTATTTAACCGACCTAACAATTCACTCTCTTCTAGCTATGACAGGGGCTCTACATTCAATGTTTTTGTGGGGAAAAATCAGCTTATTGCTGGGATGGAGAAGGCTCTGCTTGGCATGTGTGTAAATGAAAGGCGATTTGTAAGGATTCCATCCCATCTTGGATATGGAAATGACGGAATTTGTAAGTACAGTTTTCTGTACTTTTTGATGCCTAAATAAAATGATCCAGGACAGATTTATTAAGCTATAGTTAATGTGAGGCTTTAAACATTAATTTAACTTATGTATTATGGATTCATTGTTGACCAGTTAATCTTGTATTGTAGCTTTGAATTATGACAACATATTTATTTCCCCAACTGAGTATTGATAATTTCTAAGGTACTAAAGACATATGTAGGTCAAAGATTGAATCAATGATTCTATCCATTTTTCTTATGATTAAAAACAAACATATAATATTTAAATAGCCTAGGCAGTCTTGTTAATGTTGATGATGCTATCATGCGTTAATTGATTTAATTTTATGAAAGAAAATATTTAAGTCCTCATTGTTCAAGATTTTCTCTCCTTCATTTTCTTTCTAAGATCATTAAAAGGACTTGGTGAGTATCTTGATAATCTCTTTAGGAACAAAAGGAAGTAGTTTTGCTGTATTTGTGCAAATAATGCACAATATTTCTTAATGTTCTACTATTCTTTAATGCAAAAATAGATTGCACCATGATTAATGAAGTATAGCCTTCACCTACTTGCCAGCATTGGAAACGGAATTCTGAGTTGCAAACTGAAGAGACCAGTTTCTGAAAATTATAATACAGTAAGACTTAGCAGCAATAGCAGTATTCGCTGCCATGATAGCAGGCCAAAACAGTCACTATGCATTTGTGTTTAAACATTACACTTATTTTCTTAGTTGAGGTAGACTTTTTTGGGAATTAAAATGGGTGATAACACATCTTTATTACTTTGGGCTGCTGATTATACCCTTGTTCCATCTTTTAATCATTTCTCCTGTAACTCACCAGGAGTGCTCACAGGGAACAGGTCAGAAATATAATGTGATTCATCATATCATTCATCATACCTCCTTAATGTAAGGCATGTGTGCAATGCATCTAAAAAAAAGTGGGTCTTCAATCAGATAGTCATAGTCATATGACTTTTTGAAAATTCTTTCTGTAATGCCCCTATAATTCATTGCATTAAAACTTGTCTTGGAAGGCGGGGCTGGCGTCATGGTGGTACGAAGTACGATCTTGAAGCTCTAAGATCGCCATCGATATCTTCGTTGCTGGACAGTCCTTTTGGACCTAAACCATCCCAAAGAGATGGTGAAAGTAAAGAGCACATCCTGCCGATCCCAGGGACACTGCAAAGTCCCTGGTAGATCCAGGAGAAGCTCTTTTTGCCGGCAGCAAGGAGGCAGCCATCAAAGCTGTTGAAGCTGGGACAGTCCGAATGGAAAAGAACGAAAAGAGAAAGTGTGTCAGTTTGGTGAGAGGATTTTTTAACTTTATGATTTGAGAGAACACCCTAAGAAAAAGAAAGAAATTGTAAAATTGAAGACAGAAGTGGTTAAGTGGCAATTTTAAACAGGAAGTCAAAATTAGTGATTTTTTTATTGCTGGGTTGTTTATGTATGCTTTTTTACTTTGAAACTGGACTGTTTTTTTTAATTTTATTTTTTCTCTTTTTCCTTTTTCTCTTTTGCCTTTATAATACTTTGTTAGAGATTCCTGTTTAGTTTTTTCTCATAAGCTTTTTTTAATTAATCTTTTACTATTTAAAATACTTTTAACTTATTTGTTTTGGAAAAGGAGGGGGGAAGTAGTAGAGGAAAATTTGTAACACTGCCACTCAGAAGCTTGGCAACATTATTTTTTTCACTTTCTGAGACCAGACAAAGCTGAGAAAGAACTGAGGCTTTTCTTCAAGGACTGAGCCTGTTTGATGAGATAGAGGGAAGAGCATTGGAGAGTGTTATTACGGGTGCTCTTCTGGGTTTCTATCAGTGGCTGGAGTCTGGTGTTGAAAGTTTGGAATTTACAGAAAGAAGATTACAAGACCCTAGAGAAGAGAGTTATAAAATTGTTTGGAACTTAACAAGAAGCCTTGCATATTATATAGGCACAGTGTTTTTTTTTCTTTTTCTTTTACTAATAGAAAGCTTGTTGAGGTAATTCCCCGTTAGGAGAATGAGCGCATACAGGGAGACCTATTTGAGAGTAATGTTTGAATAATACACACACACAGCACACAGATACACTGTACAGTAAATGTGGGTTTTTACTTCCAATAAAGGTTTTAAGCAAAGTTCAAGATAAGCAGTCCAAAAATCATTCACAGGTAAGATCAGTCAGTTTTTAGTCCAGGGATAATCCAATAACGAAGTCCAGTGTCAAAAACAGTTCAGTATCAGACTTACATCAAATCCAGAAATAGCAGTCAATTAGGAAAAATGGAGGAACGGCAATACTTTCCAACAGAAGGAAACAGGGATTCACTCTCTTCTCAGACTAAGACTAAGACAAGCCAGGTTTCTGGCTCCACCTTATGGCCAATTGCAAAACCACACCCAATTGCAGTTTTTGCAATCTCTTAAAATCATAGTACTAAAATGTCTATCCTGGCTTATATATTTCTAACCTAAATACCTGTTAGGTGACATATTCCTAACATTCTCCCCTTTTGGGTAAGATAATATATACAACCTTACATTTTAAGTCCATAATCCTCGCAGCAAGCTTTATGCTTTATAGAGCCTTGGGCGTTTGTAAAATGATCTGCTATATTGTTTTCTGACATACAGTATTCTAACTTAATCATTTTACTTTGCACACATTGTCTCACATTTAAATATCTTAAATCTGTGTGTTTCGTTCTTGTCTTAACAGCAATATTTGAAGCCATCTGTATTGCTGATTGGTTATCTTCATAAACAACAATAGAATCTGTTACATCAATTCCCATATCAATCAATAATTGTTTATATAAAACTAAATCTGTACATCGTAAAGACAAACATGAGAATTCAGCCTCCATTGTTGACAAACTTAGATGTTTCTATCTAATAGATCTCCATCCAATCAATGCCTTTCCCAATAATACTACAGTACCCGATGTAGATTTTTGTGTATTTATGTCTGTAGCAAAACTTGCATCAGCATATGCAGTTAAAATCAGTTCATCTTTAGGCTCCAAATACAATGCATAATGCATTGTTTGTTTTTAGATATCTTAACACACGTTTAGCAGCTTGCCAGTGCCTTTCAGTTGGCTCAGCATTAAATCTCGCTAATTGATTAACACTGTATGCAATATCTGGCCTTCACCAATTACTGAGATAAGATAAACTACCAATCAAGGACTGATCAAAAATAGGACTTTGTACATCACTATGGCTAAACTCCTGGCTCATTGGTGTTTTAGCTGGTTTACAAAGTTCCATTTTAAAACTTTTTAGTAATTGGTTAATTTTATCTGCCTGTGAGATCTTGTATCCTCCTCTAGTTCTATCTATCTTTAAACCAAGATATTGTTTTATTCTCCTGTTTTATCTTAAATTTCTTTTCCAATAGTGAAGTTATCTCAGTAGCTTCTTGTTCAGTTTTGGTGATTAATGCTATGTCATCAGTAAATAATAGCAACAATGAAATTACACCATTACTTTCTCTTTTAAATAAACATGGATCAGCCATGACAGCTACAAAACCTATCTTAGTTAATTTTTTTAACTATACATTGGTTCCACTCATATCCTGATTGCTTTAAGCCATAAAGACTCTTTTTCAATCTCCAGCAATCATTATTATCAGTATTACAATTTTTGAGACCTAAAGGTTTCTTTAAATATAGTGTGTTGCAACGGTGCATGCAGATAAGCTGTCTCTACATCCAAATGATTTATAATGTATTTCTCCTTAGCTGCCCACACTAATGCTGCCCTTAATGTAGTAGCCTTCAGACTAGGTGCAAACACCTCATCATAGTCATTTGCTGTCTGATTGAACCCTTGTGCTACTAACCTGGCTTTATGGGTAACAGTCCCATCTATACCTGTCTTTAGCTTATAAATCCATTTACATCCTATGGCATGTTTACCTGATGGTAACTTAACGTTTTCATATACCTCCAGTCTTTTTAATGATTCCAGTTCCTTATCCATTGCTTTCTGCCAAGCAGCCTGATCCTTAACAGGATACAGTTTTAGTTCACTATATTTACTTGGAACTGTATTCAACACTGCATACAACACTAGCTTGATATCTATCAGGTGGTCGTGTTACTTGGGTTGAACGTCTTGGTAATACAGGCCTAACTGGTGGACTTTCCTATGCCACCTGCTCCTGTTCTTTTACCTCCTCCTGTGCCTGTTCTCCTACTTCTTCCTGTTCTTCCTCTTTAATGGCTATTTGTGGTTTACTGATTTTATCCTTCGGGACTATTTGGGAATCAATAATAATATCATTGCTGGATTCCTGTTCCAGTTTATCCTACCCAACGTGCTCAAGAAATTTTGCATTAGCACTACAATAAACACGAGCTGTTCCTTGATCCCAGAATCTAAATGATCTATGGTTGGCCTCGTAACCTACAAAAAATAACTTCTTAGCTCTATGTTGCCCTTTCAGTCTTACTTGTGAGGGAATATTCACCCATGCTAGAGCTCCAAATGTGTGTAGGTAACTTAAATTTGGTTTTCTGCCATGCCAACGAGTGAATGACAATTCTCCAGTTGTTGTATTTACTACATTGTTTAAAATATGGTTACTACACATTATGGCTTCACCCCACAGTGTTTCAGGTAAACCTGAATCAGATAACAGTGTGAGCCATGGCTTGTAATGTTTGCCCTCTTCATTCTACAAATGAGTTATGTTGCGGTCTGTGAGGTGCAGAACGTTTATGCTCAACACCAGCTAATTTCAGCATACTTTGGACTCTTTTGTTAATAAATTCAGTCCCATTATCAGTAACTAAAGTAATTACTTTACTTCTCGTTTTTCTCTCAGCAAACCTTAGCCAGTTAAAGAAATGTTGGAATGTTTCTGTTTTGTTTTTCATAAAATAGCAGAAACCATATTGTGAGTAATGGTCCATAATACTCAAAATATAGCAGGTACCTCCCAAACTTGGTTTCTTAGGACCAATTATGTCAGCAAACACAACCTCTAAAGG